TCTATAAAAAAGGTCAGGTCACAAAATAGCAGACGAGTTCATAGCACGTGTGTTATGTCGTCGGTAGAAACGTGTGTTGGTTTTTTGTGTCGACGTACGATATTATTTAGTAAATGGAAATCATCATGCATAAGTATGCTAAGCAATTAATGATGAAATAACTTCCAAATGACATCAAAAAGGTAGTACATATTGAAGTGGAAAAATCTAAATAAAAAACTTTCGTCATCTTTCTGTTCTACTGAAATTGATACTGAGATTTAATGTGTGGCCTAGAACATGGCAGTCAATTTGTGTTTTTTATTTTTTGGAATATTTTCCTGCGATTGTTATTAGTTCAGCTTTTACAATATTCGATCTTCAGCTTTTGCTGTTCTGGCTATGAAAAAATCATCTATACGGTTAAATTCAAGGCGGTTGCTTTGCGCAGGTTTTTATTAGAACAAAAATCTTGTTATTTTTGAGCACCAAGATAGTATTGTCTTAATCCATTGCATAAATTATTAAAAACTGGTACACATAACCAGCAAGAAATCTGTACATCCGCATGGTAGTCCTGTTTATCTAATAACCAAGAAAGTATTTTTACCCCCCTCCACGTTTGCGACCCTAAGCATAAAACAACAACTGTCAGGGCCACTACAACTTCACAACCACTTTTCAAGGATTTTTCTAATAATCTTGCAACTCTAAATGCAAATCCAAGAAGTGCATTTGTAAGAAGAACGATGTGCTCTGCAGCTTAAAGTGTCACAAATCTTTACCCCGCTTTTGTTTTTTTATTTGGTAGTAGACCGTTTCCTTGCATAAAGTCAACTGTGTTAACCAACAACAATTAGAAAAACTTCTTAGCCGTTTTCAACACGCCTTTGCTCTTTCAGATCAAGGCATCGGTAGGACCAACTTAATATACCGTCTCAATACAGAAACCACTAAGCCCATCAAAAAACACCTAGAATTCCCAGGGGGCGAAGCAACAAGAAGTAAATAACTCTATAAAAAAGAGGTGCTCGAACCATCTCAAAGTTCTTGGGCTTCCCTTAAACTGCTGCTTTTATGGGAATTACTAACGCAGAAGAATCAACCACATACTAGACAGTCTAGCTAGAACTAAATGGTTCTCTGCTCTCTTAAATTTGAAAAGAACATACTGGCAATTAGAAGTGCATCCGTAGAATAAAAAGAGGACCGTAACTGAGAATGATCCATGGAAATTCAATATGATGCTTATTAGATTGTGTAATGCACCGGCTACATGCAAAAAATGAAGGACACTGAATTACAAGACTATCATGGAGAATCTATTCGGTTCGTTTAGAAGACATTATCATATTTGAAAAAACCTTCAACGACCACCTCTGAAACGTAAATGTAGTTTTCAAAAAATTGACAGCCGCAAAGTTGAAGTTAAGTCCAAAAAAATACGCTCTGTTTAGGAGAGAAGTGAAGTCTCTAGGGCATGCTTTAACACCGGAAAGTATTAGAACCGACCTAGACAAAATGGATGCCATACGAAGTGTCATGTTATACCAAAATTTCTACACGAACTTAAATGCTTTCTGGGACTTAATACCAATTATTCATATGAGAATTTGTCTATATGAACCTTCCTTAAAATAGGGTAGATGCTTTCACATTACATTCTTTGGAGCTCCAATTTTGACACATCCGCAATTTAGTGAATCCTTCATCGTTGTTGCCGACGCTAATAATGTGGGACTTAGCGGTGTTCTATCCCAAATACAAGACGAAAGGAAACGATCATAGGGTACTTTAGTAACACAGTTTTGAAGCTGATATGAAACTACTGTCACCCGTCTAGAGATATTGGCTGTAGTTAAAATACTCGAACATTTCCATAAATACCTGTATAGACGAAAGCTGCTCTTAATAACGGAAGGACAAATTGCTTGCTGGTTACAACGATTTCAGAAATACAAGTTAGATTTCAAGTATCCCTCAAACAAACAGCACGACAACACAGGTGCCTAGGATCAGAGGAAGCTAGAACATATTGACCCAATAATGAGAAGGGACAAATCTGAAACTTTAAGATAATCGTGGGCAGATGTGAGCCACCTCAGCGAGGCAATGAAAAGTATTCGGACTCAGTGGAATTCCCTTACCTTGGACCGCGGTATTTGCCAGTGGATATGATGTTTGGTTGTCCTAGAGACTCTCCTGACTCTTCTATGTCTACAGACGAATACGTACGCAAACTAGAGGAACGACCAAAAGTCACCCATATGTTGTGCGTACGAAGCTGTGATTCGAAAGTGACCACATGAAAACCAAATAATTGACGAGCCATCAAGTGTCCTGGTTTTAACGAAGGTGACAAACTGTGGCTATGCAATCCATCAATACGGAAGGGACGTTGCCCAAAACTACAACTAGTTTGGTATGACCAGTATACCTTTATTTGACGAATTAGCGACGTTGTTTATCGAATTCAGAAGGAACGTTGGGTCAAAATCAAGATTGACCATCTTTACCGGCTTGCTCCTTACACATGCGACGTTACTGATTGTTTAAAGAGGGGAGGAACAGTGTCGTGTGCAGCTAATCCATCATACGTATATAGTGGTGTAGTGTGCTTGACGCTAACAGATAAAGTTACCAGGCTCCAGTCTATTTGCGAGACTGGAGCTGGATAAAGATTTTACTGTGGTTTATTTACGGGGTCAATAGTCAGAAGAAGATAAGTCCATTTGCGAGACTTATATATTATTATATTTAAACAGTACTTACACTAATGTTATTTGCATGGATTAAATGCAAAATGTTTATCAAGTAGTTTGGTCCGAGTTCGATGGTTGACCTAGTTTTGGTCAATCGACAGCAACGACAGAAATGCTGAGTTGCTTACATACATGTACATATACCGTATATCTACCAATTATATACTATACGGAGTGTTCCCACAGGACCCTCCCTAGTGATTAACGATATTGGTCATCCTGCTGCGAAGTATTTCGGGAGGTGTACTCGACGTCCTGAGCGGGTTGTTTTTGTTGGTTGAGCGGTGTCGTTGTTAGCGGTTGCAAGCAGGGGGAGAGGATTGTGGATATTATCCCTCTGACATTATGTATTCTGGTATAAGTCGATGAATAGATATAGTTTTTTCTTTGTTAGACAGTTGGATGATGAACGTGTGGTCGTTCCTGCCGATTACTTTGAAAGGATCATCGTAAGAGGATTGTAGCGAGTATTTAGAACCATCATGTCGAATTAGGACGTAGTCTGCTGTTCGGAGGTCTTTGTAGATGAATATCTTCTTTTCTCCATGTCGTGTTACGGATACAGGCTGTAGTAGTTAGAAGTGTTGACGAAGCTGTTGTATGTAGGTTGATGGGCTGCTGTTGGTCCATTTGTCCTATTGTCACTGTTTGCGCGGCACTTTCGGGAAAAACTACGCGAACCGTAGTCGTCTCTTGTCGTTGCTGTCCATTTTAAGGGAGTTGAACATCTCTACCAGGCTCTGTATTGTGAAACAATCACTAGGGCTTGCACTGACTATAGTGTGTTCGTGGACCGAGTTAATGATGCTGGCAATTTTTGCAACGTCATCTAGGTCCTTGTCTTTCATTGCTACAAGGATCGGCTGAATGTGGGTTGGAAGGTGACCAGACCATATGGTTCGTAGAAGGCTGTGGTTGATAGTGGCACCTCCTAAACTACGAAGATGCACAGGATCTGAGAGGGCTTGCTGTCGCCAAGTTCTTCTTTTTCGAGAAGTTGCTTGATGGTACGTGCTTCTTGTGAAACATTAAGTCTCCGAATGAGCACTGCCTTGATTGTGCTGTATGGTTCTTCCTCCGGAGGGTTGACGATGATGTTACGTACTTCTGCGAGTGATCGCAGAGGCATCCAAACTGCAATCTGCCATGCAGAAGCATAACTCCGGACCAGACAGGACGAATGGTGGCAGTTTGACTGGATGCTGGAGCAACGGCAGCTGGAGTCGGCATGTTGACTCGTTCGGTTGTCCTGAATTACCCTTTCGTTAACGTAGCTGTAGATGACGACGATCTTCCCGCTGTGGGGCCCAGAGATAATTTGTGGTCAATAGGACGGTGCTGTAGCTTCTTTCTCCATTAGAAGGCACAGTTGCTTGTCGGGGTCCCAATGTAGCGTGCGTGAGGCTAACAGAAGAAATTGGTCCCAGTTCGATGGTTGACCAGGGACGATAGAAATATAATTGTGCATGTACCGTATGTCTACGAATTATATTAATTATATACTATACGGAGTGTAAAATAGTAGCAAAGACCACATTTTCCAAATTTTGGAATCTTTCTAGAGCAACTCCAGTTCCTATAAATGCCGCGAGGTCGGAAGGGTTCAGTTCGAATTCTAGTTACGAGGCGATAAAAGATGAATTAAGAATAGCGGAGAAGTTAGAAGAAATTACCTAAATTATTTATATTCACATTTTGTTAATTTAAATTTATTTTTTTTTTTGTAATACTAGTAAAGTAATATGCTTTTGCCAAAATGAATTAATTTTAAAACCATTCAAACTGGTCTCGGAATAACTGCAAACTTATCTGTTCTTGTTTCATACATTTGTAATAATCAAGCATACCTAGACAAGGCCGTTTATTCGTTTTGAATTGGCGGAAAAACCAAATACTATAGATATGGTAAAATAATTATTCATCGACGTTTACTAATAGACATACCTCAGCGGTCAGAATTATGGTACAATAAAGAAAGAGATGGAACGAAGTTTCGGCCAATATCCATCTCTCTTACGATAGTGCGTAAGCGTGTCATGAAAGAAATAGCACTAGTCCGAAACCATACGCCATCTCCCTCACTTTTCGAGCCAAGAAATTATTACGACACGGCTAAGGCACGTCCATTAATATATGTCTATGATCTACTCTGTATCCACTAGTAGCATAGATCGGAGATATTACGGTACGATATGCACTATAATCTCTTATCTATGACTAGTAGTTTTCTGTACTATGCTGTATTATCTATGTATGCTACATGCTATTATCTATGGTTCTATGCCTGTGCTGTTGCTGGTTGACTGGGTTTGTTCGGTTTTCTGTTTATGAATGAATTTCGTACTCAGTTTATTGTATGGATTATATAAATAGGACTAATAAATCTAACAATATTAACAATAACGTGTTGTAATCAAATATAAACATTTGTGGTGATTTTACATAATGGCACAACAAAATTCTGTAAGTCATCCTATTATTACTACAAACCCGGAAACTTTAATTCCACCTCCTGAATTTTGTTCAACATCACTCCCAAATTTACCGAATGTTCAACAGCCACCACCTTTATTATTACCCCCGAACATTCAACCTAATTCTGGAAATGATAAACAGCTTCCATCATTACTATCACTTAAAGTTGATCCACCAGATCAGTTAATAGAAAAAACTGATTCTGAAGAAGTGGTCTTACCACAAGCATTAGAACAAGTGCTTGCTTTAAAAGATCGTCGTGAAACTGAATTGGGATCAGTAGAAGTTGAAAATGAAATCCAAGAACAGCCACAAGATATTACTGAAGTTGAAGTTGACTCTAGTGTATCAAAAGTGTCCTGGGGAAAAGAAGAGAAGCTCCATACCCCTGAAGACACAGATAAAACCAATACAACAGTTAAAGAAAAGAAAACTAAACTAAGTAAAAATAAAAAGAAAAAGAGAAATAAAAATAAGAAACGAAGTAATGCTCAAAATGAAAAAGCAAGTGAGACTGATGGGAATGATAATTCAGTTACCCAAGCTGATGAGTCTAATGTTGAAATAGAGTATATACAGGAAAGTTTGAGATTGCATGAACTTGCACCTCAGTATCGACAATTTTTTCATATATTTGAAGCATTTAAAATTTCTGACCCTATTCCTGATATTGCACCACCGCAGCTGATAACACCTACTCTTTCAGGCACAAAAACTTCTTCTGTTACTGGAGACCAGTTTCAGGATGAAGCAGATGAAAATGAAGAAAAAGTTAAAGAAGATAAAACAAAAATGTCAAAACGTAAATTAAAAAAACTTACTAGATTAAGTGTAGCAGAATTAAAACAGCTTGTTACAAGACCTGATGTAGTTGAAATGCATGATATAACTGCCAGAGATCCTAAACTTTTGGTGCAATTAAAAGCTCATCGTAATACTGTTCAAGTACCACGGCATTGGTGTTTTAAACGTAAATATTTACAAGGTAAAAGAGGCATTGAAAAGCCCCCTTTCAACTTACCAGATTTTATTAAGAAAACAGGAATTATGGAAATGAGAGCTTCTCTCCAAGACAAGGATGAATCAAAAACTTTAAAAGCAAAAATGAGAGAAAGAGCTCGACCCAAATTAGGTAAAATTGATATTGATTATCAGAAACTTCATGATGCATTTTTCAAATGGCAGACAAAGCCAAAAATGACTATTCATGGAGATCTTTACTATGAAGGAAAAGAATTTGAAACTCGTTTAAAAGAAAAGAAACCTGGAGACTTATCTGAGGAACTTCGTACTGCATTAGGAATGCCCATTGGGCCCAATGCTCATAAAGTTCCTCCTCCATGGCTTATTGCCATGCAACGTTATGGTCCTCCTCCTAGTTATCCAAATCTTAAGATTCCAGGATTGAATGCACCAATTCCAGAAGGTTGCTCATTTGGTTATCATGCTGGAGGGTGGGGTAAACCACCAGTTGATGAGGGTGGAAAACCTCTTTATGGGGACGTTTTTGGAACTAATCAGATCAACATTGATGATGCAGGAGAAGACATTAATATAGATCGTTCTTTATGGGGTGAATTAGAATCGGAATCAGAAGAGGAAAGTGAAGAGGAAGATGAAGAAGGGGAAGAATTACAACAACCAACTGATGAAACTGGACTTGTTACCCCTGCAGAAGGTTTGGTTACACCTAGTGGACTTACAAGTATTCCTGCTGGAATGGAGACACCTGAGGCCATTGAGTTAAGGAAGAAAAAAATTGAAAACGAGATGGAGGGTACAGAAACGCCCGTTTTATATCATGTTATACCAGAGAAAAGAAATGAACGTATTGGTGGTGCCATGATGGCCAGTAGTCACGTGTATGACATGACTGGAGTAGGAGCTCCTCCACCAGCTGTTATTTCTGCTAAAAGAGGAGGTACATCGGCAGTGGAACAACGTGAGGGTATGGTGGAACTTGCGCTGGACCCATCAGAACTTGAAATGGATAGTGATGCAATGGCTGCACGTTATGAACAACAAATGCGTGAGAATCAATCCCAACTTCAAAAAGAAGATCTCAGTGACATGTTAGCAGAACATGTTGCGAAGCAGAAAAGTAAAAGAAAGCGTCAAACAATGGATACTAAACAAAGTAAAAAGTATAAAGAATTTAAGTTTTAATCCATACATTTTTTTATCATTAATTCAGCATTCAGTGTATTAAGTGTAACAATAAAAAAGTTCACTGTTGTTATTATTTATGATTTTGTTGTGTGAATGTAATAGAATATAACAACTGATGTAACAAAATAAAAATTTATTTAATACTTATAACGTAAAACAAGCATTATTTAAAATATATAATTAACACAGCGCATTGCATTTTTAGCTACATATTTCAGATAGACAATTTTTTATATTATTTAAATTATAATTTTACAAAACAAAACGTCCATAAAAATAAAGAAAATCGTTTTTTTTTAAGTAGATATTTGAAATACATATAACACGTATGTAAACCTTGTCTAATTACTTAAAAAAAATAATGTTATATAAATTAAACTTACAGCACATTGAGATATAAAGAATTTTTTTTTTAAATGTGGTAGAACTACGTTTTCGATCGATTTGAGTGGATCCAAAGAGGAGATGCTATTACAGTATTTTGAACTCTCGCAACTGTTATTATTTCGTCGTATACCTTGTCCGCATTATAAAACTTAAGCAAATCTTCGATGGCGTGATCCTCGATCTGAAAATTTTAATAAGCTTTAAATACAATTTTTAAATTGAACCTATTTACCTGAGTATAGAATAACGACTTAGTTTTCATCTTCACAAAATTTTCTTTCATTTTCTTTTCATCTGTTATAATAGAATCTATAGTTGATTTAACATCTAGAGAATCGATAAGATTGTTGGGGTCACGTAAAATTTTCCAAGGATTTTTAGGACTAACTAGAAATGTATAAAAAAATGAATGAAACGATTTATTAATAACATTCTTTTGAAAATTGTTCGGACTGCTAATTGTACTCATTTTTTCGAGCAAGATTAGTCAATTTTTCACTTTTTTACGTAGTAAAAAACTCAAAATAATGATAATTTTGATTTTCTTTTCTTTTATATTAAATTTATTTAATACACAAATGTGTTGCCAGTTTTCAAGCAATTTACTTATGATTCGTTTACAAACAAAAGATTTAGTTACATTAAGAACAATTACAAAAAGGAAACAAACCTGATAGTCCGGAAACTTCCTTTTCAGTTGTTGAACATTCAGAAGATAACCGCTTTCGCTGTTTTTGAGATAATTTTGTGAATTTCAATTTACATTCACCTTTTTCAGATTTTCCCGGTGATTGTGAAAGTAAATTATGACTAGTACATTTTCCTAGATAAGGAAATTCTTCTTCATCTAAATCATCTTCATGCCTCAATGGAAGCATTGTGGAACTTGAACGATCGATATCGTTACTAACTGTTTTTTTTGCATTCATTATAGTTTCTACTCTATTCTTGACAGCATCGCCTTGCTTGGTAGCAAATACATATTTAACATTATCAGTTTCTAAACGATCATCATTGCTATTTTCTTTGTCATAGTTGCAGTTTAATGAATTGTCTATGATCTCATCCAAAGGCAATTCTTTTCTGAAACTATTTCCCGATGATTTTCTAGTTCTATTTCTTTTTTTTGCACTCTTTGGGATATTTCTTACTATAATTTCGTCATCACCGGGATCGGTAAATGTTATAGAACAGTGATTTTCAGCAAAAACGATATCATCGTCGCATGGTGCATTGGAATAAGGAGTCAACACTCTGTGACTTATATCTCTATTAAATTTGGAATAAAATTCCGATAAATCTACGAGAATATTTTCATCTACTGCTTCCAATGTATGAAGCTCTAAAAGTGCTGGGAGATTTTGCAGTATAAATTCCATGCAACAGTCTTTAAGTTGACATGCATTATAGTCATAAGAAAATTGAATAAGTTGTGCGACATTTTTAAGCGATAAATGAGAACTTATGGCTAGTTCACATATTTCTTTAAGACGCTCTAGCAAAAAGTGATCAGCAGCAATCAATAAATTGCATGCCAAGTCAACTTCGAACTGTACGTTCGGTGGTACTTCATCTGTGTATAAATAATCAATTAGAAGATCTAAAACTGCATGAGGAAACGGAAGTGAAATTTTTTTAGGAGATGAGTTCTGAAAAGAATAAACAGAAATTAAAATAGATAAAATGAACAAAACAACATGTGCTTTCACAGCTAGAATTCATAGTAGATTTAAGATTTGGATTGATGCTTTCAGTGGATAGTACCTTGACAAGATGGGGGAAGGTTACAAATCGAAATCACTGTCGAGACTAAAAGACAGACCGGCAGCAACTTCGAGGTATAACCGCCCACGTTGCAAATGCAGTACTTGCTGAAGATGTTAACCACAGTTGCCTACAAAAGTCTAAATTAATCGAGCATTTCGACCACAGCCCATCAGCCCGAATCTCAATTTTATTGACATTATTTATTAATAATAATGTCATAAATAAACAGCAAAGGAATTATCTTATTTTAAAAACAAAAAAAAGTACATTTTTCAAGTAATATTTTCTTTGGCGCGTTGAGAATAAAACTGTAGCATGCAATGGAAGTTGACAAGCAGTATTAAGTCAATGAGCAACTGGCCAGTAGCGGCAGCACTGCCCGATGATAAATTTAAATATTTAATCAGAAACATTGTTTAAATACTAAAAGTAAATGTTAATAAAAACAAAGACTTACTGAACTCCACCTAACAGAAAATAGACTTTCAAAATATTCTATTCTTGCAACTAAAATACATTTGTGCGCGGAAATTTGCTTTTGATCTTTTGACATTATATGTACATCATAAAACTGGGGCAGCAACTCCTTTTTAGGCTTTCGAGGTCTACATTCGCTTAACAAGTGTTTAAATTTTGGAATGCCATTTAAAAAGGTGACTCCTTCCAAATATCGAAACAATTCCTTTAGTCCCAACTTTTTGGCTAAATCTCGCAGAGCAAATAGTGGATTGTCCTTACACGATATTGTTTTTGTATTTGGAGATGCAGAATATTTATCTATGGATTCAGCCTCTTTCTCTTTCCCTTTGTCATGCTTTTTTAAACTTTGTGAGTAAGTATTACAGCATTCTTTAAATTTGCTAGAATCAAGAAGATCACATGCTCCTGTGTAAATATAACTCAGAAGGCTAGCAAATATATATTCACTTTCGTTTTCGATTTCAATGTATGCATTATTTCCACAATCGGAAAACATCCCCTCCAGTTTATTGCTTGCCAAAGCACAAATATATTTGTGTGCAGGAAATTTGTAATTATTCACTTTAAAAATAACGTCATGAATGTCATCTTCTTCATCAGCTTTTTCGAGAAGAAAACGCATATCTTCTAATATCAATGACGGTGAAATATTGGGAAATAATCTTTGGTAAGTCCTAGGGTTAGTCTGAAAAACATTTAATAAAATTAAAAACAAATACAATCTGATTTCGACGTACTCTTGAAGTTTAGTCAGACAATTAGAACTAGTTGACTACTGATTGTATAGTAATGACCTCGCAATAAATTTAAAAAAAACCACTTGTATAACTTTCGGTACATATAAGGACTCTGCACCTCAGGATTTTGATAGTAAACTAGTAGAGCAAGTCATTAGCAGAATTGCATCGACTCGGTACTTGGGTATTCTACACTCCCATTTGATATGGTAAAAAATACGAAATACTTAATTTTTGTATTTTATAAACAATATGCGTGAGTAGAATTTTGGCATCTATATTTCGAAGAAATAGCAGAGAACAGAAGAATATAATCTCTCCTCTGACCTTGACGGATCAGTACTATGACCTTCAAAAAAGTTATGACAAGAGCCAAAGTTGGACAAGGAGTAAAACTCTGACCTTACCATCTATAAACCTAAATAAATAGTGGGAAGAAAATATCCAGATACATTAGTACATTATTATTTAATCAATTACCTAATCATTTAAAAAATATTAAACACTTAAAACCCCATTAGCCTAAAGATTAAACGATTTGATAAAAACGAACCAATAAATAATGGCAGCTATTTTTTTCAGGCATAAGCGTATAAACTTTTTAGTGTACCAGCAACTATTATATTTTCCTTTTTCTTTCTTATATTTCAAACTTTGTAAGTGCTGTGTTTTAGTATCTGGTACCCCCTTACAGTTATTGTGTCTTCTTGTAAAATAAATAAGTGGATTATTAATACCTTTATTTTAATTACAATAGCAGTAATGCAAGTACTAGGGAGGATATACCAGTGATAGTGGTATAGCGATATACGATACAGTTACTGTTAATCCTTAAGAGATATTTTTATGAATATAACCATTTACTTGAAGAAAATAATAAAAATAAAAAAGAATACAGGGTGGCCTATAAGTCTTTAGAAATGTGAATTTCGAATTAAACATATATGATGCGCCAATAAAGCGAAAAAAAAACTTTCGGTCAATATTCATAGGCAAGTAAGTAAACAAAATTGCCGTTACTGGGAAAATCCCACACATAGTGGTAGTGATAGTTTGAGTCATTATGTCAGTTGCGTGACATCATAGGCCTATATTTTTTAATGAAACAGACCGAGTGATTGATTGAGAACTTTTTACACCAGTTATAGAACTTTCCGAAGACTTATACCTCCAACACCTACATATATACCGACCGTCTGACATATTATCCCTAACAAAATGAGAGAAAGAAAAAACATTCACTAGCTACAATATAGTCTGGATTAAACTCTATCAGACTTTTCTATAAGGTTACCTTAAATGTAAAGTGTACTATACAAACTCGAGATCAGGAGGTCGACTGATACCCTAAAAGAAAATATCCGAAGAGCAATTACTAACATCACAGAATTGACTTGCACACACACACAGTCTTCGATATTTTACAGATCGCCTACAGGAGTGATGTGATCGTGAGGAGGGACATTTTGACGCAATTTTCAAAAAATAATACAATTCCTACATCATGCCCTTTAACTTATTGTATATTAGTTTCTGATTTATTGTTTTATATTTCCAAGGACTTTATGGGCCATTTTGCAAAACTGTAAAAAGTACTTCTTAAGTTTTTACAAATGATATCTTAAGTTTTTGAAGGATTGTAAAGTGGCCCATTCAAAGAATTTAAAAAATATTAATATATGTAATTTGCATGCCTTTACTTATAAATGATAAATTCAAATATAATATACGAACCTGAAGAACTGCAAAATTGAGTCCTTTTAAGTCACTATAAATTGCAAGTCCTCTATGAATCCTTGGAATCTTTTTCAATTTTAGCATTTGACAATCTCCTTTTTCTGGAAACTCTAAACTGACAGATTTTTTTTGGTGTTCTGCAGTAATTTCGGGTTTACCTTTTCTGGGTTTAATATTTCCTTGGAATGCCTCACCAGTATTAGTCACAAATAACACTTCATTATCATTCAATGCTACATGAGTTACCTTTAAACCTCGACTAATTGAGTAAACACATTTTGAAAACTGAGGATAAGTTTCTCGCCATAAAT